AACCCTAACCCTAACCCTAACCCTAACCCTAACCCTAACCCTAACCCTAACCCTAACCCTAACCCTAACCCTAACCCTAACCCTAACCCTAACCCTAACCCTAACCCTAACCCTAACCCTAACCCTAACCCTAACCCTAACCCTAACCCTAACCCTAACCCTAACCCTAACCCTAACCCTAACCCTAACCCTAACCCTAACCCTAACCCTAACCCTAACCCTAACCCTAACCCTAACCCTAACCCTAACCCTAACCCTAACCCTAACCCTAACCCTAACCCTAACCCTAACCCTAACCCTAACCCTAACCCTAACCCTAACCCTAACCCTAACCCTAACCCTAACCCTAACCCTAACCCTAACCCTAACCCTAACCCTAACCCTAACCCTAACCCTAACCCTAACCCTAACCCTAACCCTAACCCTAACCCTAACCCTAACCCTAACCCTAACCCTAACCCTAACCCTAACCCTAACCCTAACCCTAACCCTAACCCTAACCCTAACCCTAACCCTAACCCTAACCCTAACCCTAACCCTAACCCTAACCCTAACCCTAACCCTAACCCTAACCCTAACCCTAACCCTAACCCTAACCCTAACCCTAACCCTAACCCTAACCCTAACCCTAACCCTAACCCTAACCCTAACCCTAACCCTAACCCTAACCCTAACCCTAACCCTAACCCTAACCCTAACCCTAACCCTAACCCTAACCCTAACCCTAACCCTAACCCTAACCCTAACCCTAACCCTAACCCTAACCCTAACCCTAACCCTAACCCTAACCCTAACCCTAACCCTAACCCTAACCCTAACCCTAACCCTAACCCTAACCCTAACCCTAACCCTAACCCTAACCCTAACCCTAACCCTAACCCTAACCCTAACCCTAACCCTAACCCTAACCCTAACCCTAACCCTAACCCTAACCCTAACCCTAACCCTAACCCTAACCCTAACCCTAACCCTAACCCTAACCCTAACCCTAACCCTAACCCTAACCCTAACCCTAACCCTAACCCTAACCCTAACCCTAACCCTAACCCTAACCCTAACCCTAACCCTAACCCTAACCCTAACCCTAACCCTAACCCTAACCCTAACCCTAACCCTAACCCTAACCCTAACCCTAACCCTAACCCTAACCCTAACCCTAACCCTAACCCTAACCCTAACCCTAACCCTAACCCTAACCCTAACCCTAACCCTAACCCTAACCCTAACCCTAACCCTAACCCTAACCCTAACCCTAACCCTAACCCTAACCCTAACCCTAACCCTAACCCTAACCCTAACCCTAACCCTAACCCTAACCCTAACCCTAACCCTAACCCTAACCCTAACCCTAACCCTAACCCTAACCCTAACCCTAACCCTAACCCTAACCCTAACCCTAACCCTAACCCTAACCCTAACCCTAACCCTAACCCTAACCCTAACCCTAACCCTAACCCTAACCCTAACCCTAACCCTAACCCTAACCCTAACCCTAACCCTAACCCTAACCCTAACCCTAACCCTAACCCTAACCCTAACCCTAACCCTAACCCTAACCCTAACCCTAACCCTAACCCTAACCCTAACCCTAACCCTAACCCTAACCCTAACCCTAACCCTAACCCTAACCCTAACCCTAACCCTAACCCTAACCCTAACCCTAACCCTAACCCTAACCCTAACCCTAACCCTAACCCTAACCCTAACCCTAACCCTAACCCTAACCCTAACCCTAACCCTAACCCTAACCCTAACCCTAACCCTAACCCTAACCCTAACCCTAACCCTAACCCTAACCCTAACCCTAACCCTAACCCTAACCCTAACCCTAACCCTAACCCTAACCCTAACCCTAACCCTAACCCTAACCCTAACCCTAACCCTAACCCTAACCCTAACCCTAACCCTAACCCTAACCCTAACCCTAACCCTAACCCTAACCCTAACCCTAACCCTAACCCTAACCCTAACCCTAACCCTAACCCTAACCCTAACCCTAACCCTAACCCTAACCCTAACCCTAACCCTAACCCTAACCCTAACCCTAACCCTAACCCTAACCCTAACCCTAACCCTAACCCTAACCCTAACCCTAACCCTAACCCTAACCCTAACCCTAACCCTAACCCTAACCCTAACCCTAACCCTAACCCTAACCCTAACCCTAACCCTAACCCTAACCCTAACCCTAACCCTAACCCTAACCCTAACCCTAACCCTAACCCTAACCCTAACCCTAACCCTAACCCTAACCCTAACCCTAACCCTAACCCTAACCCTAACCCTAACCCTAACCCTAACCCTAACCCTAACCCTAACCCTAACCCTAACCCTAACCCTAACCCTAACCCTAACCCTAACCCTAACCCTAACCCTAACCCTAACCCTAACCCTAACCCTAACCCTAACCCTAACCCTAACCCTAACCCTAACCCTAACCCTAACCCTAACCCTAACCCTAACCCTAACCCTAACCCTAACCCTAACCCTAACCCTAACCCTAACCCTAACCCTAACCCTAACCCTAACCCTAACCCTAACCCTAACCCTAACCCTAACCCTAACCCTAACCCTAACCCTAACCCTAACCCTAACCCTAACCCTAACCCTAACCCTAACCCTAACCCTAACCCTAACCCTAACCCTAACCCTAACCCTAACCCTAACCCTAACCCTAACCCTAACCCTAACCCTAACCCTAACCCTAACCCTAACCCTAACCCTAACCCTAACCCTAACCCTAACCCTAACCCTAACCCTAACCCTAACCCTAACCCTAACCCTAACCCTAACCCTAACCCTAACCCTAACCCTAACCCTAACCCTAACCCTAACCCTAACCCTAACCCTAACCCTAACCCTAACCCTAACCCTAACCCTAACCCTAACCCTAACCCTAACCCTAAGTCTAACCCTAACCCTAACCCCAGTGTCTAAGTCTAACCCCAGTGTCTAAGTCTAAGTCTAACCCCAGTGTCTAAGTCTAACCCCAGTGTCTAAGTCTAAGTCTAACCCCAGTGTCTAAGTCTAAGTCTAACCCAGTGTCTAAGTCTAAGTCTAACCCAGTGTCTAAGTCTAACCCCAGTGTCTAAGTCTAAGTCTAACCCCAGTGTCTAAGTCTAACCCCAGTGTCTAAGTCTAAGTCTAACCCCAGTGTCTAAGTCTAACCCCAGTGTCTAAGTCTAAGTCTAACCCAGTGTCTAAGTCTAACCCCAATGTCTAAGTCTAAGTCCAACCCCAATGTCTAACCCTAAGTCTAACCCCAATGTCTAAGTCTAAGTCTAAGCCCCAGTGTCTCAGTCTAAGTCTAACCCCCGTCTACCACCCTCCACACCTACCTTTCTCACCTACCTTCCAGTGTCCTTCCAGTCGTTGCCGTGACAAAGCAAGACACACAACATACGTGCATTGTTTAACTGTTTGTTTATTACAGCGCTGTTTCCACAAGGCAGGACTCATACAATCATATACATACGCGCTATACCAGCAACTACACATTGAGAAGCAGAACATGTAATGAATATGGGTCTCTGATTCCAAGACTTAGTTTATAGGCGCAGCATCCACACATTCTGTACATGGCACAACACAGTTTACAGGCGCAACTTAACACATATTGCATACATGGCACGACGCAATTTACAGGCGCAGCACACACATATGCAGTACACTTTAAGACATGGTTCGCATAGATGTCAGACCAACCAGAGAAAGGGTACAAAGCCTCCACACCCCATTAGTGACACCACACTTGTGAGAATGTTGCATACTGCAACCCACCTCAAAAGCAGTGCAGATCTCAGCCCACCCAAAGACATTGCAATTCTCAGAATGGCCGCAATGGGGCGCGAGTCTCAGACTGGCCGGGAGGAACAAAATCGCCTCCAACGGCCCTTGGTTACGGGGTTGGGTTAGCCCTGCCTAGGAGCAAACAAAGCAAGGCTAGCCCAACCCCGTAACCAAGGCAAAGCTAAAGCCAATATGGCTTACATTAATTGAATGTAAAGCTAAAGCCAATTTGGTTGAAGCCAATTGAATGCAAAGCCAAAGCCAATTTGGTTGAAGCCAATTGAATGCAAGGCTAAAGCCAATTTGGTTGAAGTCAATTGAATGCAAAGCTAAAGCCAATTTGGTTGAAGGCAATTGAATGCAAGGCTAAAGCCAATTTGGTTGAGATAAATTGAACGCAGATGCTGAAATCAGCGCAACTCTCAAAATGGCCGCAATGGGGCACGAGTCTCAGACTGGCCGGGAAGGAACAAAATCGCCTCCAACGGCCCTTGGTTACGGGGTTGGGTTAGCCCTGCCTAGGAGCAAACAAAGCAAGGCTAGCCCAACCCCGTAACCAAGGCAAAGGTAAAGCCAATTTGGCTTACATTAATTGGATGTAAAGCTAAAGCCAATTTGGTTGAAGCCAATTGAATGTAAAGCTAAAGCCAATTTGGTTGAACTCAATTGAATGTAAAGCTAAAGTCAATTTGGTTGAAGGCAATTGAATGCAAGGCTAAAGCCAATTTGGTTCAAGTCAATTGAATGTAAAGCCAAAGCCAATTTGGTTGAAGTCAATTGCATGTAAAGCTAAAGCCAATTTGGTTCAAGTCAACTGAATGTAAAGCCAAAGCCAATTTGGTTGAAGTCAATTGAATGCAAAGCCAAAGCCAATTTGGTTGATGCAAAATGATTGCAAGGCTAAAGCCAATTTGGTTGAGATAAATTGAACGCAGATGCTGAAATCAGCGCAACTCTCAAAATGGCCGCAATGGGGCGCGAGTCTCAGACTGGCCGGGAGGAACAAAATCGCCTCCAACGGCCCTTGGTTACGGGGTTGGGTTAGCCCTGCCTAGGAACAAACAAAGCAAGGCTAGCCCAACCCCGTAACCAAGGCAAAGCTAAAGCCAATTTGGCTTACATTAATTGAATGTAAAGCTAAAGCCAATTTGGTTGAAGCCAATTGAATGTAAAGCTAAAGCCAATTTGGTTGAAGCCAATTGAATGCAAGGCTAAAGCCAATTTGGTTTACATTAATTGAATGTAAAGCTAAAGCCAATTTGGTTTACATTAATTGTATGTCAAGCTAAAGCCAATTTGGTTGAAGTCAATTGAATGCACACGCTGAAATCAGCGCAACTCTCAAAATGGCCACAAAGGGGCACGAGTCTGAAAATGGCCTGGAAGGAACGCAGATGGCATCAGAAGGAAGCGTGGATTGGCCTGGGAGCAGAAGGGCCCTCAGGAAGGGTGCGGGTGGGTTGGATCGCTGGGCTGAGGCCGATGGGATGAACTGCAATGAGACCGAGCGCCGCATCCCACACGCTGCCTGCGATGACCTTGGTAGGGGCTTGTGGCAGAGTGACAGGAAGATCATGGAAAGGGAACGGAGCGGGGATTCGGGTAACGGTTGACCGAACCGAGCTGGCGGTGAGTGTGGGAGGCCTGGAAAGCCAATGGCGTCGCAGGGGGGAAGTCATCGACTGGAAGCGTCGAAGGCATCTTCACCTGTAATACAGAGACACGCTTTAGAAGGAGGAACGCCGAGACCCAAACTGTGCTCACCGTCAGCCCACCCCCACAAAACGTGGAAGCCAAACACCGCTCCAAGAAATGGCTTCAGAGTAAGGTTAGGAGTATTTAACAGGAAAGGTGTTAGGGTTAGGTACATCAGGATTAGGGTTAGAGTGACCGTTAGGGAAGGCCAAGGCAAAGGCAGGAGCAAAAGGCAAGGAGAACAGCCGAGGGAACGCCAAAACAGAGGGCAAAGGGATGGGAAAGACATGGAGAACGCCAAAGGTCGCGTCAGAGGTCAGGCCCAAGGAGAAGGCCGCAGAGAACGCCAGAATGGAGACCAAAGAGATCAACGCAGAAGGCCAAAATGGAGGGCGAGGTCCGTGAGAACGCTGCAGGGAAGGCCGATGCAGAAGGTCAAGGGCAATGGCCAAAGAGAATGCGGCACAAAAGGCCAAAACCAAAGGCAAAGAGAATGCTGTAGGAGAAGACAAAACAAGAGGCCAAAGGGAATGTGGCAAAGAAGGCCAGGAGCAATGGCCAAAAAGAACATGGAAGGGAACGCCAAAATAGAAGCCAAAGAGAACGCCGCAGGGAACGCCAGAACAGGAGGCCAAAGGGAATGGGGCAAAGAAGGCCGAGGGCAACGGCCAAAGAGAACGCAGCCACGAACGCCAGAACTGAAGGCCAAAATAATGCTGTAGGGAACGCCAGAACGGGAGGCAAAGTGAACGTGGCAAAGAAGGCCAAGGACAAAGGCCAAGGGAATGTGGCACAGATGGCCAAAGCCGAAGGCCAAAGAAAACGCAGTGAAGGTGGCCAAGGGCAAATGGCCAAGAGAATGCCACAGGGAACGGCAAAACAGGAGGGCAAGAGAACGCAGCAGGGAAAGCCAAGGGCAAGGAGAACGCTGCAGTGAAAGGCTGGAGGCGAGGAGAACACAGAAAGAAAAGGACAGGCAGCATCCAGGGCACCGTGAAGTGCAGAAATGAGCTCTGTGAACCCTACCTTGTGCCTCGCTAAGTAATGAGTAAACACCGGTGGGTGAGCATCGCCCTTACCTGCTGGGCAGACAATTACCGGCCAGCAAAGCGGGGTTCCGGGCATCCCAGGAAATGCAGATTCCGGTTCCTTGCTGCTGCCTGAAGAGCCGCGCATCTCCGTGCTGTCCTTACAGCGCTCAGGAGCAACGCAACTCTGCTGCCACCTGTGGGACACAACGCAGTAATGAAGGCGCTGCCCCGCATGTGTGGGGCTGCACCCTGAGCACAATGCTGTAATGATGACACAAGGGTTGTAAATAATTATAATTAACATTAGGGATATAATTAATGCTATTGATAGGGTTGAAGTAACAGTTGGTCTAACATCAGTATTCTGCACTACAATTATGGTTATTTGACAAAACATGGGGCATTATTTTTACAGCAGCATTCAGGGTAAGAGACATTTTCAACACTGGGTTAAGGGTTTGGTCTACAGATACGCTGCAGGTTAACACAGTTATCGTTAGAACTCCCATTCAGCTGTGGGTTCAGGTTAATGTTAATGTTAATGTATCCTCGCAGCTAATCCCAGAGTGCCAAAGGCAAAGGGAAGCAGGACACCCAGGGCAGGCAAAGGAAAGCAGAACTCCCGTGGAAAGCCAAGGTAAATGCAAAGCAAACAGCCAAGCTAAGGCAAGGGCAAAAGCAAAGAGAGCACCAATGGAAAGCCAAGGGGAGGGCAAGGAAAACGCAACAGGAAAGGCCAAAATATACAGCCAAAGAGACCGCAGCAGGAAAGGCCAAGGGCAACGGCCAAAAGAACGCAGCACAAAATGCCAAAACAGAAGGCCAAGGGAGCACGGCATGGAATGCCCAGGAAAGGGCTAAGAAAACATGGCAGGAAGTGCCAGAACAGGAGGGCAAGAGAACGCTGCCGGGAACGCCAAAATCAAATGGTGAAGAGAATGTGGCTACAGAAAGCCAAGGGCAATGGCCAAGAGAACATAGCATGGGACACAATAACAGGGGGGCAAGGGAATGCCCAGACAAGGGCAAGGGCCAAGAGAACGTGGAAGGAAATGCCAAGGATGATGGCCAAGAGAACACGGCAAGAAACGCCAAAACAGGAGGGCAGGAGAACGCAGCAGGGAACGCCAAAACTGAATGCTGAAGTGAATATGGCAAAGAAAGCCAAGGGCAACGGCCAAGAGAACCCAGCCTGGAACACAAAAACAGGAGGACAAGAGGATGCCCAACCAATGGCAACGGCTAAGAGAACATGGAAGGAAATGCCAGAACAGGAGGGCGAGAGAACGCGGCACGGAACGCCAAAACTGAATGCTGAAGTGAATGCGGCAAAGAAAGGCAAGGGCAGCGGCCAAGGAGAACGTGGCATGGAACACAAAAACAGGAGGGCAAGAGAATGGAGTAGGGAACAGCAAGGGCAAAGGGAATGAAAACGCTGCAGTGAAAGGCCGGAGACAAGGAGAACACAGAAAGAAAAGGACAGGCAGCATCCAGGGCACCACGAAGTGCAATGAAGAGCTGTGGGAGCACCGTGCTGTGCCATGCTAGGGAATGGGTAAACACCGGTGGGTGTGCATTGCCCTTACCTGCTGGGCAGACAATTACCAGCCAGCAAAGCGGGGTTCCGGGCATCCCAGGAAATGCAGATTCCGGTTCCTTGCTGCTCCCATAAGAGCCACGCATCTCCATGCAGTCGTTACGGCACTCGGGAGCGCCGCAGCCTGCTGCCACCTGTGGGACACAACGCAGTAATGAAGGCACTGCCCTGCAGATGTGCCTCTTTCACAAACCTGCACTCCTTTCTCTGATCAACGTGGCTGCGCTCTGCACACGATGCTGCTTACCAGCAGCACTGAGCTGGGAACAACAGACAAGGAGAAGGCTGAGGTACCCAACAACATCCATCTTCCATCTTCTCTGATAACTGCTCATTATACACCGCCCTCACCTTTGGTTTGGTAGGTGGGGATTGAGGAAGCAATGCCGGTCCCATAGACCCCTCCCTATCCCACACTGTGATGGGAGATCAGGTTCTGGAGCACCTGAGGACCCGAGCATCCAGGAGTCTTTGGGTCCTGATGAGACGAGTCCCAGAGCTCTGAGGGAATTCAGTGCTGCAGTCACCGAGCCACTCTCAGTGGTATTTGAGAAGTCGAGGCAGTCAGGTGAAGTCCCTGGTGAGCAGAAAAAAGGTGACAGCACAGCTGTTACTGCAGATATAAAGTGTGACCCTGGGAACTGCCAACATGTCAGTCTCACCTCTGTGCTGCAAAAAGTCATGGAGCAGATCCTCCTGGAAAGGACTCTGAGGCACGTTCCAGTGCGTCACCACCCTCTGTATGAAAAGCTTCCTCCTAATAACCAACGTAAACCTCCCCTGTCTCAGATTAAAACCATTCCCCCTTGTCCTCACAATCCACCCTTGTAAACAGCCGTTCCCCTTCCTGCTGTTCCCCCCTTCAAGTACTGTGAGGCTGCAACGAGGTCCCCCCCAAGCCTTCTCTTCTCCAGGCTGAACAAGCCCACTTCCCTCAACCTTTCCTTGTAGGAGAGCTGCTCCAACCATCTGCTCATCTCAGTGCCTCCTCTGGACCCGCTCCGTGAGCTCCACGTCCTTCCTGTGCTGGGGGCCCCAGGCCTGGATGCAGCGCTGCAGATGGGGCCTCACAAGAGCAGAGCAGATGGGGACGATCACCTCCCTCTCCCTGCTGGCCGCTCCTCTTTTAATGCAGCCCAGAACACAGCTGGCCTTCCAGGCTGCAAGCCCGCTCTGCTGGCTGACGTCCAGCTTCTCACCCACCAGGATCTGCAAATCCTTCTCTGTGGGGCTGCTCTCAAGGTGTTCTTTGCTGAGTTTGCACAAACATCTGGGATTGCCCCTTCATCAGCGACATTGACAGTGGGGTGGAGTGCACCCTAATGACACCGAGCTGTGGGGTGCGGTGACACACCAGAGGGACGGGATGCCATCCAGAGGGACCTCAACAGGCTGAGTAGTGGCACTCAGCAACGCGCCTTCCAGCCCAGAAAGCCAACCGTATGCTGGGCTCCATCCAAAGATGTGCGGTCAGCAGGCGAAGGGAGGCGGTCCTGCCCCTCTGCTCTGCGCTGGGAGGCCTCACCTGGAGGTGCTGTGTGTGGATGTGGATGCCTGCAGTGCAGGACAGACGTGGAGCTGTTGGAGCACATCCAGAGAATGGCCTCAGATATGAACCGAGGGATGGAACGCCTTTCCTATAAAGACAGAGAGCTGGAGCTGTTCAGCCTGCAGAAGTGAAGGCTCCGAGGTGATCTGGTAACAGCCTTTCAACACCTGAAGGGAAGAACAAGGAAAGATTTAGCCTAGATATGAAGAAAATCTTGTACAGTGATGGTGGTGACACAGCAGAACAGATTACCCAGACATGATGGATGCCCTGTCCCTTCCAAGGTGAGGAATTGGGGTTTGGGTGTCGTACAGATTAGGAAACTAACAGCATCTCCAGACAATTAGGATGGAGATATCTGGGGTGATGCTGAGTACAGCGGTCCAGAAGAGGACAAACCTTGGCTTCCTATAAAGATGAAGACTTATTACACCTAAGGGTGCACAGAATGCCCTCAAACAACTCTGCACGGTTGGAAGCAGTGCATAACAGCCCTGAAATAAAGGAAGAAGAAGTTACTCCATTCCAAAGATGAACACTCAGCCCACACTGCCAGGGAAGCAGTCTCCAGGTAGAGATGCTGCCCTTATGGCTTCCACCCCTTAAATGGGGTCAGGATACTAAATTATAATAATAAAAAAAGAAAAGAAAAAATGGAGATTGCAGCCTGAAATAAAGAAAAAACAAAGAAACCACTTACACCCTTCTCAAAGGCCAAAACTCACCCATGCTCCACAGGAGACAGCCTCCAGAGATCAACGCTGCCCTTACATCTGCCAGCACTCAAATGTGGTCAGGATGCCCCAAAAACAGGAAAGATCACAGCCCTAAAACAAGAAGGAATCACTCATCCTTTCTCAAGGACCGGCCCTCACCCCACGCTCCCAAAGAGACAGTCTCTAAAGACAGATACCACCTTAAAGGCTGCCAGCCCTTAAGTGGGGTCAGGATCCCCCAAAAAACAAGATGTTGCAACCCTGGAATAAAGACTCACTCACCCCGTTTCAAGGGTTCACCCCACGCTCTGAAGGAAGCAGCCTCCAGGTGCAGTTGCTGCTCCTTCTGCTGACAGACCTTAAATGTGGTCAGCAGCCCCCAGAAAGTGAAATTACAATCCAGCAATACATAAGAAATCAATGACCCCATCCCAAAAACAAACACTCAGCCCACACCCCAAAGGAAGCAGCCTCCATACAGAGATGCTGCCCTTACAGCTTCCAGCCCTTAAAAGCAGTCAGGATCCCCAAAACCAGAAAGACCAGAGCCCTGCAACAAAGCATCAGTCACTCACCCCATTCCAACGAGCAGAACTGGCTCCCAATGCTCCCATGGAGGCAGATCCCAAGCTGAATGCTGCCCTGGCTGTTCCCAGCCCTTAAATATGGGCAGGGAGGGGGTGGAGCCAAGCTCAGCCCTATCCGGTCCCACAGGCAAATTGCTTCCACCTGTGCTGGCAGGGCTGCCCACACCCCTCACCAGGTGCTCCATCACTGCTTCAGGCTGTAAACAACAACAAAAGACTGATTACAAGCAGGTGATTGGGTCTGCCTGTCCGGCAAGGGGAGTTTGATCAAAGGATGAGCGACAATGGCACGCGGATTTTGATTGAAGTCTGTCCTCAAAGGCATTGGGTAAAATTGCTAATAGATAGGGGAGCACAAATTTCAGTACTGATAGAGTGACACTGAGGGTAACACTGAGCTGACCCTGGGATGATGTGGGGGGTGATGCTGGGGAGTGATGCTGGGGACTGATGTTGGAGCATCATGGGGGGACATCAGGGAGTGATGTTGGAGCGATACTGTTGGGGGGGGTAGCGGAAACCCGAAGTCGTGGCTTGAAACAATGATTGAGAAGGGACAAACCATAGAAGCTCAGGTGCATGAAACGCACCTGAGTGATGGAAGGGGGCGGAGCCAGGCTCCACCCACTTCCGGGTCTCATTTAAGCACTGGCATCAGAAGGGAGGGGGTTTTGGCTGGAGGTCTGTGCTTGCATGAGGTCTTCCAAAGGTAAGCAGGTTTTTGTTCTGTTGCTGTGTTTACGGCTGCTGTGTTTGAGCACATCCTGACTTACTACAGCCTGGGACTTTGCTTCGTTGCTACTGTTGTTGCGTTTTCCATCATGCTGCAGGATTACAGTAGGTAATTAATGGTAAGGGGGATTTCTACTTCATAGAAATCCCAGTTTTTCCCCTAAAATATCGCTTACTTTCACAGAAATCCCTGTTTTTCCCCTGAAATATCGCTTATTTTCATACAAACCCCTGTTTTTTCCTGTGAAATATCCCTTATTTTCATAGAAATCCCTGTTTTTCCCCTAAAATATCCCTTATTTTCCATGAAATCCCTGTTTTTCCCCTAAAATATCGCTTATTTTCACAGAAATCCCTGTTTTTCCCCTAAAATATCCCTTATTTTCACAGAAATCCCTGTTTTTCATCTTAAATATCGCTAATTTTCTTAGAAATCCCTGTTTTTCACCCCTAAAATATCGCTTAATTTCATAGAAATCCCTGTTTCTAACCCTAAAATATCGCTTATTTTCACAGAAATCCCTGTTTTTCCCCTAAAATATCGCTTAATTTCACAGAAATCCCTGTTTTTCCCCTAAAAAATCCCTCATTTTCACAGAAATCCCTGTTTTTCCCCTTAAAAATATCGCTTATTTTCACAGAAATCCCTGTTTTTCCCCTAAAATATCGCTTATTTTCACAGAAATCCCTGTTTTTAACCCTATAATATCCCTTATTTTCATGGAAATCCCTGTTTTTCAACTAAAATATCGCTTATTTTCATAGAAATCCCTGTTCTTCCCCTAAAATATCCCTTATTTTCACAGAAATCCCTGTTTTTCCCCTAAAATATTACTTATTTTCACAGAAATCCCTGTTTTTCCCCTAAAATATCGCTTATTTTCACAGAAATCCCTGTTTTTCCCCTAAAATATCGCTTATTTTCATCGAAATCCCTGTTCCTCAACTAAAATATCGCTTAATTTCACAGAAATCCCTGTTTGTAACCCTAAAATATCGCTTATTTTCACTAGAAATCCCTGTTTTACCCCTAAAATATCGCTTATTTTCATAGAAATCCCTGTTTTTCAACTAAAATATCACTTATTTTCATAGAAATCCCTGTTTTTCCCCTAAAATATCGCTTATTTTCACAGAAATCCCTGTTTTTAACATAAAATATCGCTTATTTTCATAGAAATCCCTGTTTTTCCCCTGAAATATCCCTTATTTTCACAGAAATCCCTGTTTTTAACCACTAAATATTGCTTATTTTCATAGAAATCCCTGTTTTTCCCCTAAAATATCGCTTATTTTCATAGAAATCCCTGTTTTCTCCTAAAAATATCGCTTATTTTCACAGAAATCCCTGTTTTTCCCCTAAAATATCCCTTATTTTCATAGAAATCCCTGTTTTTCCTAAAAATATCGCTTATTTTCACAGAAATCCCTGTTTTTCCCCTAAAATATTACTTATTTTCATAGAAATCCCTGTTTTTCCCCTAAAATATCGCTTATTTTCACAGAAATCCCTGTTTTTCCCCTAAAATATCGCTTATTTTCATAGAAATCCCTGTTTTTCCCCTAAAATATCGCTTATTTTCATAGAAATCCCTGTTTTTCCCCTAAAATATCGCTTATTTTCACAGAAATCCCTGTTTTTAACCTAAAATATCGCTTATTTTCATAGAAATCCCTGTTTTTCCCCTAAAATATCGCTTATTTTCATAGAAATCCCTGTTTTTCCCCTAAAATATCGCTTATTTTCATAGAAATCCCTGTTTTTCCCCTAAAATATCGCTTATTTTCCTAGAAATCCCTGTTTTTCCCCTAAAATATCGCTTATTTTCATAGAAATCCCTGTTTTTCCCCTAAAATATCGCTTATTTTCCTAGAAATCCCTGTTTTTCCCCTAAAATATCGCTTATTTTCACAGAAATCCCTGTTTTTCCCCTAAAATATCGCTTATTTTCACAGAAATCCCTGTTTTTCCCCTAAAATATCGCTTATTTTCATAGAAATCCCTGTTTTTCCCAACTAAAATATCGCTTATTTTCACAGAAATCCCTGTTTGTAACCCTAAAATATCGCTTATTTTCACAGAAATCCCTGTTTTTCCCCTAAAATATCGCTTATTTTCATGGAAATCCCTGTTTTTCAACCCTAAAATATCACTTATTTTCATAGAAATCCCTGTTTTTCCCCTAAAATATCGCTTATTTTCATAGAAATCCCTGTTTTTCCCCTAAAATATCGCTTATTTTCATGGAAATCCCTGTTTTTCCCCTAAAATATCGCTTATTTTCATAGAAATCCCTGTTTTTCCCCTAAAATATCGCTTATTTTCATAGAAATCCCTGTTTTTCCCCTAAAATATCGCTTATTTTCACAGAAATCCCTGTTTTTAACCCTAAAATATCACTTATTTTCACAGAAATCCCTGTTTTTAACCCTAAAATATCGCTTATTTTCACAGAAATCCCTGTTCTTCCCCTAAAATATCGCTTATTTTCATAGAAATCCCTGTTTTTCCCCTAAAATATCCCTTATTTTCATAGAAATCCCTGTTTTTTCCCCTAAAATATCGCTTATTTTCATAGAAATCCCTGTTTTTCCCCTAAAATATCCCTTATTTTCATAGAAATCCCTGTTTTTCCCCTTAAAAATATCGCTTATTTCACAGAAATCCCTGTTTTTCCCCTAAAATATCGCTTATTTTCATAGAAATCCCTGTTTTCAACCCTAAAATATCGCTTATTTTCATAGAAATCCCTGTTTTTCCCCTAAAATATCACTTATTTTCATAGAAATCCCTGTTTTTCACCCTAAAATATCGCTTATTTTCATAGAAATCCCTGTTTTTCACCCTAAAATATCGCTTATTTTCATAGAAATCCCTGTTTTTCCCCTAAAATATCCCTTATTTTCATAGAAATCCCTGTTTTTCCCCTAAAATATCGCTTATTTTCACAGAAATCCCTGTTTTTCCCCTAAAATATCGCTTATTTTCACAGAAATCCCTGTTTTTCCCCTAAAATATCGCTTATTTTCATAGAAATCCCTGTTTTTCCCCTAAAATATCGCTTATTTTCACAGAAATCCCTGTTTTTCCCCTAAAATATCGCTTATTTTCCTAGAAATCCCTGTTCCTCAACTAAAATACCGCTTAATTTTCACAGAAATCCCTGTTTGTAACCCCTAAAATATCGCTTATTTTCCATGAAATCCCTGTTTTTCCCCTAAAATATCGCTTATTTTCATAGAAATCCCTGTTTTTCAACTAAAATATCGCTTATTTTCATAGAAATCCCTGTTTTTAACCCTAAAATATCGCTTATTTTCCTAGAAATCCCTGTTTTTCCCCTAAAATATCGCTTATTTTCCTAGAAATCCCTGTTTTTCCCCTAAAATATCCCTTATTTTCATGGAAATCCCTGTTTTTCCCCTAAAATATCGCTTATTTTCTTAGAAATCCCTGTTTTTAACCCTAAAATATCCCTTATTTTCACAGAAATCCCTGTTTTTAACCTTAAAAATATTGCTTATTTTCACAGAAATCCCTGTTTTTCCCTAAAATATTGCTTATTTTCATAGAAATCCCTGTTTTAACCCTAAAATATCCCTTATTTTCATGGAAATCCCTGTTTTTCCCCTAAAATATCGCTTATTTTCATAGAAATCCCTGTTTTTTCCTATTAAATATCGCTTATTTTCATAGAAATCCCTGTTTTTCCCCTAAAAATATCGCTTATTTTCACAGAAATCCCTGTTTTTCCCCTAAAATATCGCTTATTTTCATAGAAATCCTTGTTTTTCACCCTAAAATATCCCTTATTTTCATAGAAATCCCTGTTTTCCCCTAAAATGTCACTTATTTTCACAGAAGTCCCTGTTTTTCCCCTAAAATATCGCTTATTTTCATAGAAATCCCTGTTTTTCCCCTAAAATATCGCTTATTTTCCTAGAAATCCCTGTTTTTCCCCTTAAATATCGCTTATTTTCACAGAAATCCCTGTTTTTCCCCTAAAATATCGCTTATTTTCATTGAAATCCCTGTTTTCACACTAAAATATCGCTTATTTTCATAGAAATCCCTGTTTTTTCCTATTAAATACCGCTTATTTTCAGAGAAATCCCTGTTTTTCCCATAAAATATCGCTTATTTTCCTAGAAATCCCTGTTTTTCCCCTAAAATATCACTTATTTTCACAGAAATCCCTGTTTTTCCCCTAAAATATAGCTTATTTTCACATAAATCCCTGTACTTCCCCTTAAATATCGCATATTTTAATAGAAATCCCTGTTTTTAACGATAAAATATCAATTATTTTCATAGAAATCCATGTTTTTCAACTAAAATATCGCTTATTTTCACAGAAATCTTTGTTTTTCCCCTAAAATATCCCTTATTTTCATAGAAATCCCTGTTTTTCCCCTAAAATATCGCTTATTTTCATAGAAATCCCTGTTTTTCAACTAAAATATCGCTTATTTTCATAGAAATCCCTGTTTTTCCCCTAAAATATCGCTTATTTTCATAGAAATCCCTGTTTTTCAACTAAAATATCGATTATTTTCATCGAAATCCCTGTTTTTCCCCTAAAATATCGCTTATTTTCACAGAAATCCCTGTTTTTCCCCTAAAATATCCCTTATTTTCATAGAAATCCCTGTTTTTCCCCTAAAATATCGCATATTTTCACAGAAATCCCTGTTTTTCC